ATGAAGGGCTGGGAACATAACTCACTTGGTAGAGTGCTTGCCTCACATGCACAAGGCCATGGGTACAATTCCTAGTGCCACAAACAAAAAAGTAAAAGTCGATGAAATGATATTACTAGATAATCTGAATTAAGATTCATCCTGGATTTTGGTGAAGAAAGGAGAATGGGAAGTATATATACTCTTGGGAATTTATGGACAATGGTAGAAAATCTTCCCCTGAACTCTGGTATGAAGCCAGCCTTCCCTTCAGTAGCTGCTCTAATAGTTTTCTAATTCATTTTTTMAAAAAAATCAGCATAGGGACAGGTGCTTTGGCACATGCCTATAATCCTAGCAATTCTAGAGGCCAAGGCAGGGGTATTGCAAGTTTGAGGCAAGCCTCAGCAATTTAGTGAGATCATAAGGAACTTAGCAAAACCCTGTCTCAAAATGAAAAGTAAAAAGGGCTGGGGATGTGGCTCAGTGGTTAAAATGCCCTTGGGTTCAATCCCTGGTAATGAAAAGAAGTAAAATTAAATAAATTAAGTAAAACAAAAAATAAAAAATCAGCATGGGAAAATGTAGAAGTTGATAATAATTGATAAGTTAAAAAAATTCCAGCTGGAGCAAACCTACAGTACAGGGACTCTTGTGTTTTATACATTCCATGATAAGACACAAAAGACAACAACTCCCTGTATTGCTCATTGCAGGGCTGACACCAGAAATAATATAGTTTTACCAGTTACTAAATTTTATTTTCTAAACAAGTAACAAAAATACTAGTTTCTAAGGGTGGAATTTAATTATAAACATTTCATTGGAAGGACTCCCACTTTTGCTGAGTCAGCCTTTATGGAGCTTGTAAAAGCTGTGCAGGGGTTATGTGGCATTAAATAGTCACTGAATAAGCCATGAGCATCCCTCATTGCTCCATAGATACCTAGATCTGACTCAATCTCTCAGCCTCTCTACTTTTGAACACAAGGGGTGGGGGAGGAATCTGCATTTGTGCTTCACAATAATACAAATATATGAAGCACAGTGCCTGGCACAAGCAAAATGCTGTTAACAAATAGTTCTGAGATTGGAGATTTATAAATGTTTAACGAACATGTCAAGGGCTTTAAATAACTACGTTATTTAAAGAACTATGTGTTCTCATATATGTATATAGAAAATTTATGTCAGATTCATTCCATTGTCTTTCCTTTTCCTGTTCCCCCTCCCTTCCCTTCATCCCCCTTTGTCTACGCCACTGAACTTCTATTCCTTTTTATATCCCCTTGCCTTATTGTGGGTTAGCTTCCATAAGTCAGAGAAAACATTCGATCTTTGGTTTTAAACCCTTGAAAGAATAGAGGAAATCCTTGAAAAAAATGACCTTTCTTTTGTACTAATATTCCACAGAAATTTCATATCACCCAATTATGAATGCAACAAACTGCAGTAGCATTATTGATAATCTATAACTCTGCACAGGTAGAAATCACAGAAAGTCATTGTACAGTTGCTATGGATATGTCAAGCACTTAAGTTCATACTACATCAAAATTGCAGTAGTTAGTAAATCCTAGAACCTGTTGTGTAGTTCTTAAAGAATAACATGCATTATACCCCATTTTTAAAAATTGTGATTTTAATATAGGAATCCTTCATAACCTTGAGAATTTTGTCCTATGCTTTTAAAATCACTATTCTTAAAAGTGGAGGCTCTTGGGCTTCCCCAGAGTGCCAACAGAGTCCATGATACACACAAAAGGCAAAAGACTCTGTATTTACTTAGAGGCTATTGGTCAAGAAAGCATCTTTAGGAATGCTGATGGGGATCAACTTCTTCAGAGTCATTTTGAAGCTAAATGTATGCAATGCTGATCTCTCAGTAATTAACTGAGAAAGGGTTTCAGCAGCAATGAGGTGATATTGTAATAGAAGTATATTTACATATCAATTGTTCTTCCTCTATTAATTCCTCTAACAAAGCCATCATTCCTGACTATGCTCACCAGCSGATTCACCCCAGAATCTCTGCCTTTTCCCTAACTCTTACTTTAGCTGCCACAAATGACAGAAAATATCAGTCTTTGCTTGCTAATTCTGTGCATTCAGACCACGTGCAGAATGTATATTTTGGTACAAATTTTTCTCAAGCCTAAAATATATGATTTATAAGGCTTTTGCAATGAGAATGAAAGGATTCACTTAAAATTGATTTCTGTAAGCTCTAATTATACAGTATATTTCATAATAAGCTTTTCAAAAAAAATCTCAGCCTAGGAACAAAAACTCTGTTAGCAATAAATTGTCACTACAATGATCAGTGTGCCAAATTTAATTCACAGATAAATAAAAGGAAACCTTGAAAGCTAAGCAGAGGTCTCATATGAGTGTAGGCATTGTTATAACTCTGTGATAGTTAAGAAACAAGCCCTTGCATGACATTTCAGAGGGTCTTGTTACCTTTATGTTTAAGACATATTTTAGCTGTCTCCTCTGGTTCATGGTCAACTGGTGTCTCCCCTGTCTGGAAACAGACACCAGCTGCTGATATTGGCTGGCCTATGTGCCCCCAGCACAATTTCTTTTTCAGAAATCTTAGCCCTTGCTTAGAAGCTGCCACAGTGGGTTGAATTATCCAATCCCTGTCATTAAAGGTGGCAGCCACGCACTTGAGAATGATGTGGGAAACTCCGGTGAGAGTGATAATTAAACTTGGAAAATGAAGGGTCACCTTCTTTCATTCAGCTCATTGGGTTTGGCATCAGAATAATTCCAAAACAGCAGGAGATATTCTCCTCTCAGCATGGCAATATCTAGGTGCACACACATTATTTCTACGGGTTCAAATGGGAATGCCATTTTAATTGTATTTAAAATGTTACCTTTGATAAGGGGAGTAAAAATCTTAGAAATTAGTTCTAAGAATACAGTAAAAGACTAATGAGTATAATCTAAATGGGGAAGAATTAGAAACAAGAAAAGCAGAATTGTTTTCTCAGAAGAAAAAGCATTATAAAAGAAGAAAACTGGTGCTAGGGAAATTGAAAAGAACATTTAAATGTGTCTCTTCCTTCTACTTGACTGTGGAATACAAAGCAAGGGGTTTCGTCTCAGCCTTCTTGTCCACTTACTGTCATTTCTTGGTGGCCACTGTTATAACATCTTACTCCTATCCAAGGGAGGGCAGAAAACATGTGATCTTAAGACAAGCCATTGGTAGGAGTTATTTTTCCAGGAAAATGAGTTTTTTTCCCCTGACACATTGGCTTATCATATAGCAATATTTGAGAAATTATATTCTGTTCTGGTGTTACATTAAAAAGTAATACTGAATTTTTAACAGCAACATAGGCAGGTGCTCTAGAGAATACTATTATTATACAGAAGCATGAATGTTAAAACAAAATGTCAAGTTCAAATTCTAACTTTGCCATACATTAGATGTACAAATTCAACATGTTACCAGACCTATGTGCCTCAGTTTCCTCATCTATGAAGCTAGGAATATAATAGTATCTTACAAATTTGTGGAAAGATCAAGTGAGTTTAAGATCTATAAAGATGTTATAATACTATCTATCATGAAGTACATGTTCACATCATCCCCATTATCATTATATTACATATTCAGCATCTAGCATAATATTTACTACTATATATATAATCAAGATTATATATATAACCTATATAATAAATATATAGATTATATATATATGTGTGTGTATATATATATAGATATATTTGTGTGTATATATATATTTGTGTGTGTATATATATATATTTGTGTGTGTGTGTGTATATATATGTATATATATTTCTTTTTATTTTTGACCATTGTTTGTCCATGTCATTCTGAGATAATTTTCCCAAAAGATGTGAGTCCTTCAAAAACAAATATCTCAGCCTCATTGTTCTGAAGAGTTAACTATAGTAAAGATATTTGCAAAATATAAGCCTATGGATGTTTAAATAATGTAAAATATTCTGAATAAGCARACACTATAGATGTCAGATGACACTTGATAGTTCCCTCCATATCAGAAGGATTCCTATTTTATCATATTTTGTTTCAATGTAAGAGAGAATTTAAWAAAAAATAGAGGTGCCTTAAATAGAAAAATCTTGATGGGCTACGCAATAGTTTCTATCTATGTTCTTTTGTAAGATTTTGCAGGTAATCAGGTTACGGGCAAACATCCATGAATTCATCAGATTTAACAGAATGTATTAATAGAACACTTGAAGTGTTCTCTTTTTTCTTTGAAGGAAATATACAGGAAAATCTTTTCCACAGCATAAACATACATTACACCCCAAACCTCAACCTCCATTTACTACCAGCTCATTGGAAGAAATAATGAGAGATAAAGAGAGGAGGAGGAGAGAGGCGGGGGGGGGGGGGGGAGAGGGAGAGAAAGAGAGAGAGAATAAATAAATGATGTTAATATCCTAACATAACTGAAGAGAAAATACTGTGTATTACATTTAAGCCTGATTTTACTACAGTAGTTGTGCACAGTTCTTTAAAAAATAAAAGTTTTATAAGAGATAGTTGACTCATTTAGTATAAGAGTGCTAAAATTATTTGGTAAATTATCTTTTGCTGAAAAAATATAAATAAAGTACATAAGATATACTACTTCAGCCCTGCGTTTATATTTGAAATGATTTATAGTCTGCAATTTATTCCTAAGGTCGTCACCTTCATAAATACCAGCCATATAGAGTGAAAACCAACTCAATAAAATGAGTATTTCATTTCTCTTCCTTCTGCTTATGTAGATACTTCTTCCATCTACATGAAGCCATTTATAACAAAGCCTCACATTGTAGGGGTTTTATGAGTTCTTGAGCTTCTTTTCTTTTTTATCTTTCTATGCATCAGCAAAGCAACTGGCAGATCCTTTAATAAAATATATTATTCACATTAATATTTATAAGCCTATGAATTGGATGTTTAAATAAACATTCACCAACTTACGCCAATTCTCTTGTTTCAGATGTTAAATCACACTTACATTGTCTGGAAAGTCAGCCTTTAGTTCAGTGACACTTTGACACCAATATGCAGCTGTTTTTTCACTGATCAGCTCAATATTCAGGAAGGAGCTTTGTCCAGGGCCATACATGGGGCCAGAGGTGGTCCCCCGGATGATTCTGGGTGAAACATTTGTCACGATGTCCTGATGAAAGAGTAAAGATATTGGGTCTCCTTTTGGTAAAGAAAACTTACGATTTTYATTATACACTCATTTCCATCTGACAATATTTTAGCAAGTCTCTTTGCATGCTTGTTTGTAAAGAAGAATTTCTAACATACTTTAAATTATAATGAATATATACTATTTCCAAATGAAAAAGTTAAAAAATTGTTAGCTTTAGCAAAATTAATTCTTTTAATTCTAGGTTTAGCATAGTGAAAAAAATTTAAATTTCCTGACATCGGTTTTGGGCATGCACAATTTAATTTCTAATTAAAAAATAAATAAAAGCATGATAGATAAAATGTAAAARCATCACTTCATTCTATTTAATCTGAGTAACTCCAATCATAGTTTAACTCCAATAAGAAAATGTGTGCAAAGAAAAGAATATATAATTTTCCTCAAAATAATTCCAGTGTAAGTCAGCCAAGGAATACATATTAGAATTATTGGCTCACCAAACTAACAGGTTCTAACAAACTAACTGGGTCAAATTATCTACAGCATTGTAACTATACATTCACATTCAATGAGAAGAAAGTCACTTTTCTCTAGACTGAAATGAGAATATCAATAACTTCCTGATAAGTATAAACAGTAAACAGTAAAATTAACTTGCTTGTTAAGTGTAATTAACARTCCAGGACTGCTTCTAAAGCTGTATTAACAAAGAAGAGCAACATTCTTCCATTACTTAAAACTAAAAAGAAACAAAGAAGGAAAAATGTTTCTTTTGCCAACTTCCAATTAAAATTAATTTTGAGTAAAGGTCATTTAGTTAAGGATTTATCAGAATTAGTCTTTTAAGTACCCCTCCTCACCATCTTGTCACTTTTAGTGAGATAACATGAACCCCCATTAGTATATAGCAATTAAGGTCAATTTACATATTTTAATTAAGAACCACCCCATATAAAACAATTAGCGTAATAGGCATACTAACTGGATTTCATAACATTTGGACGTTTTTCCAACTAGATAGACAGGAAACCTTAATTAGCATTAATTAGTGCTGATCTGCATATGTTTGATAAGCCATACCCTTGCCACAAAAGATTATTTATTCCTGAATCTGCCAAATGCTACAGTTGCAGAGGATAAAAGGACTTTTCTTCACATTGCATGTTAATTTCTGGTAATTTACATTCACTTTTACATTTGAATTACTATATTATAAAATAAATGGTATAAATGTTACAATAAGCCTCCTTAAATATGTACATTTTAACTTATAGGAATTATGCCTGTTAATTTTTTACTAATTAAGCCATTCCGTTTCTATTGTATTTGTGCACAACATCACCAGCCTTACTTTGATCTGCTATTGAGAAACCATGTTACACAATCTTAATGGATAAAATGACAAATAGAGTCACTTCAGGAAGCTCAAGGCTGGTGGATTAAATTTCCATCTTGGCAAATGCTTAAATGTGTGCTCTGTGCATCTACAGGTGGCTTTGTACAGTTCACTCACTAGGTAGTCTTAAGTTGCCACTATGAGATGATAATTCTGTAAGTGTTTCCTTTGAATGAGGCTGCTTTTCTTCTCTATTCTGGTTTTCAAGACCTTTTAAGCCTTAAGGTCCTTATTTTCTCTGTCCCAACTACTACTCCAAATGCTTCTCACCTCAGTAAGTCCAACCTATGGTGTTTTCTGTACAGAAGTACTTGGCCAATAAGGTAAGCAGAGTCCCTAATCAGTTTGACWAGCCATTAGCCCTGGTGCTGGAAATGATGTAGCTCCTGATTGAAAGAATTGCTTTGAAAGGTCTGGAAGCAACATTACTGGCTTATTCAACAAAGCTGATTTATGTGTCAACAGCATCCATACTTTTGTCCTTAAGTTGCTAGCTTACTACTCCCTTTGAGAAGCCTTGCTGATTTGTCCAATTCCTTTGGGTCTTAACAGCACATGCTGACTCAGAGCATCACAGTAGTATACGCCTTCCTCAGCTGGTACTCTTACTACCCTTTATTGTTTATTTTCCTGGCCAAACCTTCCACTAGAGAATTTTTAAGGGAAGAAACTGTCCCTTATTTCCCATTATATGCCCTGCTGCTAGCCTAATTTTTAGTAGATAACACAAATAATGTTTTTTTAAGCAACCTAGACTAAATTCAAGGCACTAGAGTACACCTTGTTCTGAGGCATGGGAACCAAAGGTATTTATTGCTGGCTCCATTCTGCTGCTGAATAGACAGGTGGTTTGGGTTTATATTCCAATTTCAGGTGCAGGTACTTTGCTTAGATTCTTTCCTATTAATGCATATCTCTACAGCTGTGGTCCTTACTTGCTTCTCCTGATCTATCAAGTACCCCTCTGCTATAGCTTAATTCAGTCCCCTGGGCCCCCGACTGTAGCTAGATTCTGTATGGAGTGCTGTGCTGCAGAATGCCCACTGCTACACTTCTCCCCATCCCAACGTAATTCAGTGTCTCAGTGGAAGGCTGAGTGCTTCAGCTTCATCRTGCTACAACCTCTAAGACCTTCCTGATTGCAGAGCCATATTGAAGGGTATTGCTGATCTAGCAAATCCAAATAGACTGGACACATTCAGATACCATCCAACTTCTAGTCTTGTCTGATTGATATGGATTTGAATTCTTAACCTGAGCCATGGTGAGCTGGAGTATTTCTTAGCTGATGAGTCTGTCAGGACCTTAACCTGCTAAGTTTCCTCTTGTGTCTGCCAGACACTAGGACCATGTTGTAGTTTGGATCTGGAATAGAATGCCCGGAGGCCCTTGTGCTTTTGGGAGGGGACAAAAAAATTATGAGGTATAGCCTAGATGGAAGAAGTAGTTCCCTAGGCGTGTGCTTTGAACATTTCATATTGTTTCAGTTGGGTCCCTTCGTCTCTCCCTTCCTTGCTTCCCAGCTGCTATGAGGTGTGCAGCTTTGCTCCACCTTGAAATCCCTGCCATTATGCTCAGCCTCACCACAAGCCCTGTGGGGTTAAGTGACCAGGGACCAAACCTCTGAAACTGTGAGCCAAAAKAAATCTTTCTCCCTTTTTAGTTTATTTCTGTCAGGTATTTTGCCACAGCAACAGAAAGCTGATTAACACAGACCACATCACAGTATGTGAAAGAATTGTTTTTAAATATATAAAACATAAAACACACAAAGAATTTCACTTATATCAAGAAAGGAACAACCCTATAGTTCAGGAATTCTAAACTGGATGCTATATAGAGTAACTCTCCAAGTATTATGCCAGTAAACCATAGAAGCCAAAAGAGTCAATAAGCTTGTCATGTTAAAAGAGGTTGACTCTCAAGAAGGTCAAGAGGAGTTCCTGGAGAGAGGAGGAAGTCACTCAGGACCTGCAGCAGGGTCCTTGGGTTGATGGATAAGAATTTTAACACTCACCATTTCAGAGACTTAGACACGGGTTTATTGAAGACTTATCTTCAAGGGAGAATGTGGGCAATCTCAAGAAAGAGATGACTCTGGGGTAAAGCAAGGAACTGCACTCAAAGGAAAATGTGGGCCTCTCAAGGAAGAGACACATTTGGGGGGTTCCCAGCTCTTMTTCTAAAGGAAACTTGGTGAGTTTAGGAATGAGACCAGTCTGGTGATCTTGAGATTGTTTATGGTGGTCTGGTCAATCTCTAAATGCATAGGTTGGCATGGTCTTCATTATTTGAGCTACAGATAGTGTTGGAAAGACCCTTAAATTATAGGTTTCTCAAAACAATGTATCTCTCTTTAATCCATTTATTGGGATGTTAATTAGCAATACACAGGTAGATTTAYAGATCTGCCAGGAATTTGGAAGTAACAGGGCATAGGAAAGAGACTGGTTTAGGGAATGACAGGCCTGGAAAAGTATGCAGAACTTTTGAGTTAAAATCTTATTCCTGCCCTTCCTTTATACTTTCTTTACTACCTACTTCTTATTTCTTGTATCATACCTCAAGCTGACAAGATTTAATTGGAGGACAGTTAAGAAAAAGCTTCTTTATAAAAATGTTCCCCCTATTGACCCTTAAAAGCTAAGATTCTACCATTGAGGAATTTTCCTTTGTGTGTTGTGACATAAGTTTATTGTCTATGTTTGAGTTGCTCTATTTTTCTCTTCTTTAACTCTGTGTTAAAATGTAAATATATTTTGAGAGGGAGATCAATGATCTCCAAGCCAAGATAAAGAAGAGAAGTGCAAAGCAAATCAAAGGGAACTTTTATCTACTCTATACCAGGAATGTTCACTCCTTTGTGCTGAGTTCATCTATGATACAGGATGTTTCATTAAACAGGTCAGCTTTTCTTTCTTTAATTCAAGAAAAGGTAAAAAATAATCATTGATAACTGCCTATATTATATAGATAGCCACTGTGTAGAATTTGTTAACTATCAGTCCATTATTAACTTCATATATATTTTAAAATTCAGCATTTTCCAAATTCAGCTAAAGTAGCAAAATTCTAATACAGTCACTCTGTAACAAATCAGTAATAGAAATTTTATTATAGGTTTATTTTTCAAATTGAGTGATGTTTGCTACTACTTTGTCAAAAACTTCCTTCCTGGACTCTAGAATTTTTTGAATTTTTAAATTAAGTGAAAGATGAATGAAAATGTGGATATGACCAATTATTTTTGGTTATATGATTAGAGTTAGAGTTTCAATAATTGGGCAATAACTTACTAAAGCTTTTGACCTGGGAATATTAGAACTTCACTATGTTTCCATAAGATAATATTTTGCTTTAATATTTAATAGCTAAGTCATATTAGTATTGCTTAAGGGAGTTAATATAACAAAATAAAACATATTCAAGAATAGTTAGACTAGAAAAGGTTTCATTCCTGATAATAAAGACGATAGATGGCCATAACCCTAATCCTCAGTGCATTAACAATCTTCAGATTTTAAAAATAGATATTTGTAGAGAAGGAAGAGTTAGGTGATATTTTTGATCTATGTGCCAGTCAGTGTATAAAACCACAAGTTGGTGACCTCCTAACATTTGA